TGTGTGTGTGTGTGTGTGTGTGTGTGTGTGTGTGTGTGTGTGTGTGTCTGTGAGTGTGTGTGTCTTTAAAAGAAAAAACAAAAACCCATCCATGCTTTTTTGGCTCTTCCGCACTGGGGACCTCCGCCCCTAGCTTTTGATAAATGAGCCAGGCCCTGCTGGGCTCCCCAGGAGCTGTGAGAAGTCCTTCCATGGGCTGATGCCTCCAGATGCTGGAGAATCAGGTTCTTCTGAAAGGCAAATCTGTATCTCAGGCTCACTTAAGACTGGACTTCCTCCTATACCTCTGCAAGTTCATTTTTTACACCCTGTGCATTCACAAAAGTCTTTCCCTTTTTTCAAACAGCCCAAGCTGAAGCACAGCCTCCTTGTACAAAGAGGATTCCAAGCGGGATGAGGCCAAGGGAGAGGAGCCCTTCTCCCAATTCCCCTAAGGGAGGCCCGAGGACCTGAGGCTGTGGCCCGTCTTTGCGGTCTCCTTAAATAACCTTAGAAAGACCAGCTCGCTGGCCCTCGCTGCCAGCCTCCAGGGCTGCCCCATTTTCCTCTCTGAAACCAAGGTCTGCTTTTGTTCCCTTTTGTGTCCTTCTCAGCAGACTCTGCCTGGGCTTGGTCTGCCCTGCTCCTGGAGGGCTGCCTGGGTTAAGGCCATTTCTTCCAACTGAGCACCCAGGGATCAGCCAATAAGCCACAGAAATTAAGGACAATGGGACAGGCGCCAGTCCTAGGGCCTTAGTTCTACACCAGCAGGACAAGGGCTGCTGGGAACAAGGGAGCTGGGCGCCAGGTGGGGTTAGCGCTGTCTGCCAATGCCCCCGTCAAGCCAGGCCAGGGGAAGCCCACCTCTGCCCTGACCATCTTAGCAAGCCTGGTGGCTTGCTGGGAACCGAAGGTCGGAAAAGACCCGGAGCGCACCGGCTCATGGGGTCGAGAACAGGGCTCTTGCTGTTCTCTGAGTGACCCACCCCCCACCCCCCACCCCCAAGGGCAGGCCAGGCTTACCCTCCACGGGAAGTACTGATCTTCCAGGCGGCCAATTCCCAGACAACCTCGGATGTTCTTGCCCCACACAAACAGCTCTCCTTTGTCTGCAAAGAAACGACAGCATTGGCTCAGGGTGGACCCAAGAGCTGGCCTTAGAGCGCAGGCCTGGGGACAGAAGGCTTTCCAGAACCAAGCACAATTCAAGCGACTCGAGGCTAAAGAGCCCTCGGGACAGAGGAATCTTAAATACTGGTTTTTACAGGGTGTGATTGTTTTCTCCCACAACGGTCTCCTTTAATGGAAAAGTCTCAGAGAATGCTCCTTGACACGAAAAGAAACAACAAAAACAAAAACCTCCTTCAAGACCAGGGTTTACACTGAGGGCCGGAGGAACGGGCCAGCCAAGGAACCGACAATGTGGGTGGCATCAGGAGAGCCTGCTCTGTGGCCTGAGACCCACTGGGCCGCAGAAATCCCCAGCGGCCCCAGGTTTCACTCTCCAAATCAAGTCCAAAACCACTCGGCCTCTCTCACCTGGCTTCCTCGATGGGGGAACAGGCTTCATTATTGCTGCCCGTTTTTTCTGGAGCTCTGAGGACCTCCCCCCCCACTGAAGGCTGGCATAGCACTTTAACCCCAAATTTCAGCCCTTTCCAATTGAGGCCAGTCTTGGTAAGCTCTGCTAGAGGACAGGGGCCTCAGCTTGACCAGCTTGTCCATCAGTCACCTTCTAAGCGCTGGGGTTTGAGCCAAGGACATCAGTGACCAGGAGGAGGCCAATCACAATGCCTGTGCTTGCATCTCACCGGCCTTCTTGGCCCTCCTGACTTGGCCTCACGTTGCCTCGGAGCAAAGTCTTACAACTCAGCCTGGTGCACTCGGAGACGGGGACTCACAGAGGCTGCCAGCCCCCAGGACGAGGGCCATGAGAAAGAAAGGGGCTTGACCTCGGCCCAGCACCCCCTGCGAAGATGCCGCTTCCCTCTGCTGCAGGGGCCTGCCACGGTGCCTGGACGCCACTTCTCAGACCTCTGGGATCCCAGCCCTACAGCTGCTAGGGACCTCGGGGGGCCTGCTAACCTATACCTGACAGGAGAGGACACTGAGGCCAGGGAAGGGACTTGCCTAGAGTCAGGATGAGAACCCACATCTTCCTAACTCCAACAGCAGCGCTTTCAAGATTCTACACAAACACAGAGGAGAAGACGGGACCCCCAAACCACACAAAGAGAAGGCTTTTTGCCATGTGGTATGTCCTGCTCATTCCACGCCACAAGAGGGCTGCTCCAAAATAGGATTTCACTAACCACGGGCCCCAGATGAGGAGACCCAACCAGCGACAATGGGAGGGGCGGCAGACAGCGGCGTGGGGGGGGCTGCACCTCTCTGGGCCTCGGTTTCCTCATCTGTAAAACGAAGGGGCTAATCTCTAAGGCTCCTGCCAGTCCTGAATTCTAAAATCTCCTGGATCCGAGCGATTTTTTTCTTATATCTCACACAAATAAAGGTAAAGCCTTGAATTTCCAGCCTTTGCTTTTGTCATTTGCTGGCCTGATACTTCCACATGAATGTGAAAGTCTCCCTCGCTGAGCCCAAGGGCTCCCCTTTCTTTGGCGGTGCCAGCCTTTGACGAAGCAGTTCAGTCTGACCGAATCGCTTCTCTCTTGCCCCCATAGGGCTGATCTTCAGTGAAGCCTTGTGTGTGGGGGCCATCCCCAGGTCACTGGATGTGGGACCCCTCCCCGCACCGGGATACACTTGGGGACACACAAAGCCATTTTTACATGAGATTCATACAAAAAAACTTTTAGAGAAAAACACAATGTGACTCAAAGCTAAGTGGCGATGACTGCTGGGTATGCCCCCTGATCAGGCAGGCCACAGCTTCCCACCTACTGAGGGGCCAGCAATCAGAACTGGCTAAGCAGGGATGCCAGAAAGGGCAGCTGGCCTCATTTCGCTTTGCTCCATCGCTTACTGGTAAGTGCGGCAAACTGGCTGAGTCCGCAGCGAATGTGGGAAACCCGGACGTCTGGGCTGAAATCCGACAAGCCAAAGAGAGTGGGCGGGATCATTTCTGGGAGCGCGGTTTCCATGAGGTTTGGCCCTTTCCCAAGAATCCCGTATCCCCAGACAAAAACATTTCCTTCGTCTGCAACACAATAAAAATAACAGGCAGTTAAGTGCACTCGGCCCTCCTTCCCTCGCTTCAGAAAACACAGACGATTTCATGGCGGATGGGTCATTGGCGTGGCGAGGGCATGGGGGCTGCTGCCCACATGGTGCTGCCCCGCACTGCTGCAGATCCCTGCCTGCTCTCAGAGCCAGCCAAGGACTAAGCTCGGAGAGTCACCCAGCTGGGCCAATCAATCAGTCAATCAGCCATCGGGCTTCAGGGAACAGCTGAAAGGATGTCACCCAGCTCAATTTCTAGTTGCACACTCTTTGGACAAGGCCAAACACATAAATGGCCCTGCTCTTAAAAATATTTAGTTTGCTTTTAACAAGGCTGGTTCTCCTGAAAGTCCCAGGTCCACAACGCTTGATCCCGAGGGCCCAAATCTCCCAGCACTCCTGCCCATGGGCTTCCTGGCTCACCGACTCTGCATAGAGAAACAGAGGCAGGAGCAAAGGCCTGCTTTGGCGGGAGAGGTCCCTTCTTCCTTCCAGAGGGATCATTAGGGAATCAGCTTTTCCTGATACTTCCTAGGAATCACCGGGAAGGACCCTTTGCTGGTGGGATTTGACAGTTCCACTGAGAAAGACCGGAGCGGTAGGTCCCTGGGATGGACAGTACCCAGGCCACCCTTCTTCTGACCAAGGGGCTCTTACCATTTAAGACTGCACTGCCAGTACCGCCACAGGCCGCCTGCTTAACCTTCCCAATCCCAGAAAAGGGCAAGTGTGTGGGGACATTCACCTGTGTACAAGAGACAACCAGGGAAACGGGCTAAAGAAATCTGGGGAGCCTTTTGGCTTGGGTTGTGGTAACTCTGGGCTCTTCAGGAGAAATACTCCATCAGTCTCTGGGCTGGGGCAGCGTAAGTGGCTGAGAGGCTGGCAGGGGGGGTTTTCTTCTCCCTTTTTCCTGATTATATAAAGTGCAGGGGGCTAAGCCCACTGGAGCTTCCTCAAAAGTGAGACGTCTTCCTGAATGCCAAGTCACAGCTGCCCCAGGCCGGGATGGGAAATGGTGGGTTCTGCTTCTGGTCCCCCAGCAGCCAGAGGAGTTTGCCTCAAAGCAGGCTGAATTAATTTCTTTCTTTCTTTCTTTCTTTCTTTCTTTCTTTCTTTCTTTCGTGAGGCAATTGGGGTTAAGTGACTTGCCCAGAGTCACACAGCTAGTGAATATTATATGTCTGAGGCCGGATTTGAACTCAGGTCCTCCTGACTCTAGGGCTGGTGCTCTATCCACTGCACCACCTAGCTGCCCCTCTGAGTTTATTTTTTTTAAGGGGGTAGCAAACACCAAGAAGTATCTCATGAAGCCCTGGGCCCCATCCCATCTTCTCGTGAATCCCACCCCCAGTACCTGGGTGGCCTCAGTGACGGACGCCAGCTGCAGGTACTCTGAGTTGCCCCAGCCAAAGAGGTCTCCCTCAGCAGACACGGCCAGACAGAAGTCTCCGTAGGTGGCCACCTGTACTATGTTCACTCCGACGATGCCGCCCCCGACCTTGGTGGGCTTGCTGGTGATGTTGTAGTGACCCAGACCTGCCTCGGGGCAAAGTGGAGCATCAGGAAACGTTCACGTCCCTCGGCAGGCCCAAGGAGGTCACTGCAAGGGGAACGTCTGAGCAGCCTCCCACCTGTCCAGGTGAGAAGCGCCTGTGCTGTGAGCCGACCACTGAAGCCACTGGTGCCGGTCCAAGGCACCAAAACTCTCTCCTTCATTAAATTCACCACGACAAACCCTGACAAATAAGCGGGGGCCAGCACAGGCTGGACCTGAAGGCCCATCGGACATCTAACCTAAAAGGGGTCTGGCCAACGCAGCTGCTCCCTTGCCTCTCCTGTCCACCACGTGTCTTCCAAAGACATAAAAATCCGCTCTCTCTTTAGGTCTTACGGGCCTAAGCCCAAC